TTGTTAACTTCCAACAACCTTCGTCACATAAATGGTTCAGTAAATTACATGCCCTTCTATTCATTGACTTTAAAGGTATATAGACTAACCTTACTCTCCCGGCCCTGGGGACAAACTAAAGATGGAAACAAAGTTCCTGGTGTCAGTTTATCGTGAACAAACAAAGCTCCCAAACTCATGTTAAATTCCCAGGCGCTTGAGCGAGGCCGCATCTCGGAATCCCACCATCAGAAAGCTCGGCTTCAACTACAGGCAACGCTGTCGTCTGTGAAGAGCTATTTGATTGCTTTGTGTTGATCAGTTTAAAGGAGCCAGCATCAAGTCTGAAGTTCAGGTGGGCGAAGACCTGGTCTCGGTTAAAGGTTGACTCGTTGAGATGCTGATTGTCCGCGAGCTCGCTCGTCAAGAAACTCCTCTTCCTCTGCAAGAAGGAAGTCCGACATAATGAGAGATTTTTCATTGCCATGCAAGAGCGTCAAACTTAAACGAAGATCAGGGGCCCCTGATAAATAAAGAACGTAACGACTCTCTGCAAAGTAGCGATATTCCCAATGGTAAAGAACCCAAAATTGATTCGTTTCCTGTATTGGTGAATTGTCGGTTGAGTATCGGTGAGATATCGGTGGTGTATTGGTCAACAATCGGCAACGCCTAGAGTCAGTCAATATATTGGCCGAGTGATGTTCTACTGTCAGTCGAGTATCAGCCAACAAATCGATCAACAGTCGGCCGTGATAGCATCAGTAGCGTGTCGCCAGTGTATCGGTGAACTGTCAGTCAACTACTGGTAAGTTATCGGTGGTGTATCCGTCAACAATCGCTATCAATTTTACTCTATGCTTTTCCCTTTGTTACAAGGTTCCTGACGTCAGCTGACACGCGATGGGCACTAATGCTTGTTACACACATCGGTTTCGGCTGATAACGGGTTGATTGTGGCCCGGGGGGGGGTTACTCCCTTATAAGGGCTTAATGGGGACGTGCGGCCATCCAGGGTATGTTTTTCGGGATTTTTGTCTTAAACAGGGTATCGATTTTATCATTTTTTGTCTTAATCTGAGTATCGATTTTATCATTTTTTGTCTTAATCTGGGTATCGATTTGATCAGTTTTTGTCTTAATCTGGGTATCGATTTTATCAGTTTTTGGCTTAAACAGGGTATCGATTTTATCATTTTTTGTCTTAAACAGGGTATCGATTTTATCATTTTTGTCTTAATCTGGGTATCGATTTTATCAGTTTTTGTCTTAAACAGGGTATCTTTTCTTGGACGATAAACAGCCTGCGCGTATGTTCACGAATGTCTTAGAATTCTGTCTTAAACAGGGTAGGAAAATCAGCGATTTTTGTCTTAAACAGGGTCAGGGTATGAGGGCCCGGGCCGCACCTCTCCACCCAAGGATATATCGAGTACCCCCCCCCCCCCCCCCCGGGGGTTTTGACCAAACCCTCGAC